ACATGATCTGGCTTTAATTGTGCACATAGGGACAACCATGAATACTTGAAGAAAACCAAAACAACAATGAAAGTAAACTGAATATATAGCCGCAGGCCACAGATGGCTATAATTCCTGCAATCTGGGTTTTCAGAAGAAGTCTGTTAGCTACCATGCATGACATAACGAATGATGCTCAGAGTAATCATACTACAAACAAGTCACTGTAAGTTAAATAATGCTTCTATTGTCTAAACAGTATATTTTTCTGGCTTGAACTGAACAATAAAGGGAAGAGAAACCTTTCTAGAACTTGAAGGTTTACAAATAGTTGTACAGTGCCACAATTAATAGAATGAACAGAAACTGAGCTTATGAAATACATTATAGAAATATAGTATTAAGCATATAACTTCTGCTGTTTTTACTAAGAATGTGCATCACATTCTCCACTGACATCCATGGGTCTTAGGTATGCTTACTTTTGATTGAATACTTGCTTTTAAAAAACTTTCTTGCTTTCTTCATCCATCAAATACACTGCTTTTTCACACTGCTTTAGAGAGAACTCTCCAATTCTAGCAATATATTTCTAGAAAGTATTGAGGATTCTGTTCATTTTCTTTTCGAACTGACAAAGAAAATTCCACACTACATTGCAAAATCTACACAGAGCAATTAGGGCTTTGTCCTATGGTGCCAAATTTATAACCTCCACCAATTGGTCTACCACAATGGGCTACAGGGGAGCAAGCTCGGCCCCCAGGGGATAGGAAGAAAGGCAGTCAGTACATATAGAAGTCTCTGCTGAGACATCAGAGGGCAGATTTACCAAGGGCTCAATAGACCAGGTTCTGGCTGAGACTGTAGAGGTGGAGGGCCAGTCTATCCTGGTCGATGAAGACCAGCCATCTTGGCTGAACAGTAGAAAAGAAGGTCAACTTATTACACACACTTTTCTAATTTATTTTGTAACTCTGACAGTATTGCTAATCTCTGAGAGGGTGGGAAATATTGATGAGATATTCAATGCTTTAATTACTTCTTGTAAAATTTCACATTATGAATTAGAAAGTTGATGGGGGGGCACATTTTGTGCAGCTTGCCCCAAATACCAAAACGAGTAGTTATGAGTCTGAATCTTCACACTGTAAATTGTGACATAGGTATGGGAAACTGTACTTCAGTTATCTGAGATTACATGTTATCTTCTTGGTGGTGTATTGAAGATAGAACCGGAAGATGAGATTATTTTCATGGAAATACACCCTTTTAAAGTGTAGTTACCAGAGAAGGGAATGAATTTCAGTCTAATAGTGTATAAGGTCAATGTGAAGGCAAGAAGACAAGGAGAAGAGGTGTAGCTTAGGTATGAAAAGGAGAAGCACATCTCAGCAAAATCAGTATAAAATATAAGGAGAAAACTTTAAAGTAGACAGAAATAATACATATAAGCACTAGATGGTTTTCATGAAAAAAAGGCCTGGAGTACTTTGTTAATTATTACTAAAATACTGGCAAGAAATAAATATTCCAGAAATGCTGAAAATATGTAAACAGAAATCCTAATTTAGTCATTCTGGAATAAAATTTGTGTATATCTTTATAAAGCCTAAAATTCTTTGGGTAGTGTTCAGATTAAAAGCACAGAATATAAAGTAACGGTGAAGGCAAAGGTTCTCCTTGAGATTTAGTCCAGTCGTGTCCAACTCTAGGGCGAGGTGCTCATCCCCGTCTCCAGCGTTTGTCCGTAGACAATTTCTGTGGTCACGTGGCCAGCGTGACTAGACACGGAATGCCATTACCTTCCCACCATCGTGGTACCTATTCATCTACTTGCATTTACATGCTTTCAAACTGCTAGGTTGGCAGGAGTTGGGACAAGCGACGGGAGCTCACTCCGTCGCATGGATTTGATCTTATGGCTGGTGGTCTTCTGACCTTGCAGCACAGAGGCTTCTGCGGTTTAACCTGCAGCGCTACCACATCCCACTGAATATAAAGTAACAATAAACAAAATAATGACAATAAAGTAATATAGGTAAACCAGACCCACCCGCTTCATTGAAGACCAAAATGTGATAAATAGATTAGTGTACCAGGGAAGCTGAGCGCAATATGATCAAGAGACTGAATGTCGGCTCCTAGCAGAGTTACGTAAGACAAAAAAGTTAAGTTGAGACACTAGACTAAGAATCATACATTATTTTTGGGAATTAACAGTTACATCAGCAAAAGAGAATTGATAGTTCCAATTGTTGGGGATGGAGAGATTTTTGAATTTCAGTTACTGAGCAGCATTAGTAGTAGAAGGTGATATGGGCAGAGATCATAGAATCCATGTAGAGTTGGAAGTGACCTTGGAGGTTTTCTACAAACATAGTTCTGCACAGAGGACAAAGGCTAGTGCTGTGCTACACATATAATTGGAATACTGAATGTGAGAAATATGAATGAAATTTGAAAAATACAAAACAAGAAGTGGAATATTTAAACATTTCAATACATGCTATGAGACTTGATGGCACATAATTACTGTTAAAGGCATCCGTTGATACCTTCTATGACTTGTAATTTTCGTTTCGTTTAGTCGTTTAGTCGTGTCCGACTCTTCGTGACCCCATGGACCAGAGCACGCCAGGCCCGCCTATCTTCTACTGCCTCCCGGAGTTGTGTCAAATTCATCTTGGTTGCTTCGCAGACACTGTCCAGCCATCTCATCCTCGGTCGTCCCCTTCTCCTCTTGCCATCACACTTTCCCAACATCAGGGTCTTTTCCAGGGAGTCTTTTCTTCTCATGAGATGGCCAAAGTACTCGAACCTCAGCTTCAGCATCTGTCCTTCCAGTGAGCACTCAGGGTTGATTTCCTTTCGAATTGATAGGTTTGTTCTCCTTGCAGTCCAGGGGATTCTCAAGAGTCTCCTCCAGCACCACAATTCAAAGGCATCAATTCTTCGGCGGTCTGCTTTCTTTATGGTCCAGCTCTCACTTCCATACATCACGACAGGAAAGACCATAGCTTTGACTATTCGGACTTTTGTTGGCAAGGTGATGTC